AATGAATTGAATTTTTTGAAAATTTCGAATACTCATATCAGTAATAGTTGTATTAATAAATGCTTTTAGATTGAATTGATATGCGGAATTATGTATATCATCGTATTGAATATTTTCTATGGTTATTTCTTTACATTTTATTGGAGTAAAGGCATAATTAGCAAGTTGAAAGTTTTTTGGTGAAGAAAATTTAATATAAATTGGTATTGTGGAAAAAGAATTCAAGAATTGAAAAGTATTTGCTTCTATTTGACCAATTCCATTTACAAAAGTAAATTTGATTTCGTAAAGTGAAGAAAATCGTGACGAAAACGATGTAAATGTATCAGATGTTAAACGAGTAAAATTGATAAAATTAAATGTAGAATAGATATTTTGAACTGATGAAAATGTTGACCAATCGATAAACGTCGTTTCACTTGCTTGATGTTCAATGCAGGTGACAAGACTTTTTTCATTGTCACATTTACAAGTGATAATATCATTATCAAGACATATGATTTGTGATTGAATTAAATTTGTAAGTAAAATCAGATGAACAATGTAGAAAAATATTTTCAGTACAAACATTAATGTTCTTAAAAAAGTAGACTATATGAAAATGAAATGGGTTAATATCTTTTTTTTCTTTGTCTTTTCTGTATTATGAGGCATATTTTTATCATTGAGTCTTTTATAATATCCACAGTGTTTAAACGAACATTATGAATCATTGATAAAGACTCTGTAAGGACAAATAACAATTGTTTGTCATGCTTTTTCTTCAGAATGAGTGAAAGTACGGAGAGCACATTTACACATTCATCTAACCATCATCTGCATTCTCATCCTCGCGATTCTAATAATTGAATATCGAGTTATTTAAGGCATTTTTGGAAAGATTTATTTGAATTTTGCAGTTTAGAAAACAATAAAAAGAAAAATAAACGAACGTTTTTTTCAATAAGCAGTTTAAAATGAGAAAGAAAAGAATTCTAACTAAACATTTTTTCATAAGCATAATAAAATATTCATATCTAAATTAAATTAATTATATAATAATACATTAATAATAGTTGTAGAATAGATTCATATTCATCTCAGACAACAAGATCACTAAAAGACATTACGAGCACACTCTTACTCTTAAAATATATACTTTACGACATATATGTATTTTTAAATATACTAAAATTTAGAAAATATTTTTCAATTAGTGAAGAAGAACTTTGAAATAAAACGTCAATGAGAAAAGAAAAATGTCCTTTAAAGAGATATTGAATATAAAAAATAGTGTTAATAAGTATATAATTTCATTATTAATCATCTATTATTTGATATTTTTTCTCTCGATTGTTTTATTTAAGAATGAACTGAAACAACTAGATTTTGATGATGTATTAAAAATCGAAGAATATTTTTGATTTTTTTCCAATTTTAGGTATTGTTAAACAAGAAACAAATGGAAAGAAAAATATTAATTGAATTGCAAAATAAACGTACACCATCATCTTGAATGATATTCCAGCCTATAGACTATGGGTCATGAGTGTGTGTTAATAAAACAAAGGAAATTCCATGAAAATAAAGAATAATTAATTGTGACTTTGATATAACACAATGTTTCAGTTAAAAACAATAAGATATTATCACAAATTGAGTTCGCATCAAGACGTTGTATATTAATCGTCGAGTTCATAAGGTAAAAAATTAATGAATAAATAAATTAAAGAATTATTTACTGTATTTTGTCGTAATGCATCGCTTAAACATTTGACTCCTTCAGATCCAATAAAACATCCATGAAGACTTAATTGTGCCATTGTCTATTATAGAAGATAATTAATAAGATAAAAGTATATTGCAATGACGATTATTTGATTTATTGGTAGCGTATGAACAACATACTTGGTTTCTTCATTTCGCGTTTGTAATCCATCTAAATTGAATGTCATGATTGTCTGTCGAATAGAAAAGGATGAAAAAAAAAGAAAAGAAATCTTAATTATTTTAAAGAATTCCAATTGAGAAGAAAAAGAAAGAGTTTCTATAAAATTTGTTAAACATCAATTACGTATTTCTGACATCTTCTCTATGTTTTATATAACTAATTTTTAGTTGCAAATGAATGAGAATATTCGATTATACAACGAACTTGATCAAATGAAATTCCTTTAAATAAATCATCCGCACATTCTCAGATATAAGGTGCAATTCAATTAATATTTTTCTTTCCATTTGTTTCTTGTTTAACAATACCTAAAATTGGAAAAAAATCAAAAATATTCTTCGATTTTTAATACATCATCAAAATCTAGTTGTTTCAGTTCATTCTTAAATAAAACAATCGAGAGAAAAAATATCAAATAATAGATGATTAATAATGAAATTATATACTTATTAACACTATTNATGTGCGATATCAAAAAGATGTTCAATATCTTCCAACCATTTTTTAACGTCATCCTTTTCTCCTTTGAATGTTTTTGGATTTTTTATTAGATTGCTAACTATAGCTTTACGAAGTTCGTTAATAGCAGGATCGACTTGACTATTAGAAGAGTTGAGTGAAAGTGCATTCTGATCCCTAGTTGAAACCTCACCATGAACCATGGTGGTATGAAGAATAGCATTTGGCCTATTAGTATCTGTGTGATAATCCGGCTGACATGAAGAGTTCGTGTGTGAAAGAGTTGTATCAGTCTTAGGAATGATTTGTGATTGACAAGTATCACATTTCGTGACACGTAATGTATTAGCAGATAGACATGAACTGACCGAACAAGAAGAATTTGAACTAGCTTGAAATGTAGATATCATAAATTCATAGAAATCATCAAAAGTGTGAATAGTTTTACGATGTGATACATATATGCGTTTTGCATCTCCTGTAACTAATAGTGAGATGGATTGATAACGAAGACATCGTGCAATACGAAACTGAGTGAATTTATCTTCTGTTTCCGCAAGCCATTGAACGACGTCACCTTTTCCGGTAAACGGAGTAAAGTTACTTAGAATGAAAATATCGAAATCAGCATTGTTCACGGTTTTCTCTGTCTCTACGGTTGTGTTCTGGTATTGTTGTAGTTCGGAGTCATTTTGAGTTGACTGACACGCATTTTTCTTCATCGGTTGAAAGTCATTAGTTGCGACATGCGTGAGTGTATTGAAGTGACTAACCTTCGTGTCTTTACTTTCAGTAGAAGCGGCCTGAGCGGCATTCACTGTACTTATAGAAGGCAGCATAGCTCGCCTTCCTCCTTTGTACTTATATTTCTCTGTATCACTGTCCACAAGGTGTGTCGACGTAAAGATATCAGTACTTTCAACAACGCTGTCTCTTAACGATCCACTGGATCGCGATTTAATAAGGGTTTGTTTTGGTGTGGAATCAGTCATTGTAGATGGTTGTTGACAAATATGAAAGTCTATGAAATGTATATAGAAGTATTCGAGAAAGAAAGAGAACGATATAAGTGCTTTTCGATATGATGAAACACTTGAATCGATATACACAAAAGAAGAAAAGAAAAGAATTTGTTTATACGGTTAGATAACTAAACGTAGATTTGAATGTTTGTGCGAACTATAATAGATGAGGCGAAAGTTGCCCAACTTCTCCACCAATTTGTGAGTCTCGACTTCGGGGATGCGAACAAATCGTCGTAATACCCACAACAAAAATGAAAATATCTCCTATCACCTACCGTATATCGATGTGATGAAGAGAAATCCGAGGTGATCCGATGTCGGTTTATTTCGAAAGGAAAAACGAAGACATCAAAACAGAGGAAAAATCGACAACAACGAAACAAAGAAAACTACACTCTATATAACGGAAACGATAGCGTCTAGACAAAGAGAAATCTAACGACGCAATAAAGAAAAAAAAGGTCATCATGAGTACATCATGATGGACAATCCACCATACATATATCACAGAAACGAAAAACTGTATATATGTAAGGAATGGAAAGATGACTAATAAGAGGAACGAAACGAAAAGAAAAAGAAAACAAAGAAAAACATATAGCATAGTTAGTGTCATCGAACGATGACGCTAACACCGGTGTGAGTCTCTTGTATCAGGGGATGTGATGAAACCTCCAGCTACCGACTATATCGTAAGCTGAATCCACTAATCGAACGAATGGTCTGATGTGCGATCAAGACTCACGTCGTGGAACCTACCTGAGGTGACTGGAAGTGATGAGAGATGAAGAGAATGGATGTGGATGAGATGATAATGGTGTTTTATTGGATGAAATCAAATAAAACACTAAAGAAAACGATAACAAAAAGACTGGTCGAAAAGAGAAAAACAACCACATATATACAGATCGAAGATGATCTGAGAAAAAAAAGAGAAA